GTTTGGAGAAGTGGAGGAGGAAACAACGTCGTTTGGAGAAGGGGGGAGTGGACGATTATGATGATGTGACATAGACGGGCAGTATGACAGGCTGGTGGGGTATAAATAGGAGAAGGGAAAGAAAAAAAGAGAGGAGGAGGTAAGAAAATAACCATAATTTAGAAGAGAGAGATCGAGGACGGGAAGAGAAGATGAGAGAAAGAGAGAATTAGAGAGAGAGGAGCCGGATTGGAGAGAAACGATAAGAGAGAGAGAGCAAAAAGGAGGACTGTGACGGTGCGAGCCACGGGAGGAAGGAAGATGGAGATGGGAGATACGGTAAATTTTAAGTTGATTTTGACTTGATCATAAAATTATCTTAGACTGCGCCGTTAAAAAAAAAAAAAAAACGGCGCGTTACACATTTCATATACATTTTTATTATAAGACTTACTGTGTTATTTAATTAATTAAATGTTAATATATTATTTTAGATGTTAATTATTTCTCTCAATTTATAAATTTTTATTATATTGAGTTATTAATATTTCCTTCAAAAATCTTTTTTAATTTGGTGAACTGATGAATACTCCTGTACGTACACACACACTCACACACACACAATATAAGAGTGGAATTAAACAATAACAATTAACAGATGAAGATTCTTGCAAAAACTTTCCCTAATTTTGGGAAATTTGACAGTAAATTTGGTGGTTGAATTGTCTTCTTTCTTTTTACAAAGCATGGCTAAAAAGGCTACTTCCAAGGAGACGACGACCTTTGTTTTTAAAGCTTTCAACTTTCAAAGGGTCATTGCTTTGCACGAATCAAAATTCTTCCCCTTCCAAAATCATAGTGGAGAAATTTGGCCATCAAAGTGGACATTCTCATGGTAATTTGGAATCAAATGACTTAAAAGAGAAATTGGGACATAACCCAATAATCGAATCCAAAACTATATTTAATAAATAAATTACATAATTATTTATAATATTAAATTTTTAATTTTTAATTTTTAATTTTTTTTTTTTGAAGGACATTAGAATGGAGAATCTTTTTCCATATTCGTTATATTTAAGATACTTTCAGGACTAATATTTATTTATTATAGCCAAATAATAAATAACTCATAAGATGCAAATGCATGCATATGTCAAATGCAATGGAAGGGAATATAATTGATTAAGCGACAACTTCTGGGAATCAAATATTAAACATTCTTGTTGTCAGCAAAAAATTTGCTTATAATTGTAAAGGGCAAAAGATTCAGGCCGTGATAAATTTAGCATGTATGTACAACATAATATAAATATATAATATTTCTGGTTTGTGAATCCCTTCATTTTATCTACTTTTAATTTAATTTAATAAATAAGTTTTGTCCAAAACATGAAAAAAAATCTTATAATTTTCATTATTTAAAAAATTCATCTGTGTTTTTGCATGAGTCCATACCTAAATGCATTTAAAATATTTATACATAAAATTAGGGACCATTTAGTAATGAAAAAAAATATATAGGGACTAAAATGAAAAATGGAGCAAAGTTTGGAATTAAAACAATAATTTGCCCGGAATAATTTTATATATCAGTTATAATATTCATAAAATAGCGGATATATGCTGAGATTAAAAATTCGAAGATATAATTAAAAAGTGCAAAATAAGTAAAAACAATAATTACAGAAATGAAGTTCAAATATGTGGCCAAACACATGAAGTTCAATTCAGAACGTCTAATTAATTAACACGTTATGCTAAAAGGAAAAAGGGAAGGAAATTTTAATTATTCTGATTACAGATTAGAGATCTTAATTAATCAATGTCATGTCATATATATATATATATATACATGTGAGGTTCAAATGAACATACACACACACACACACACACACATATATATATAAAGTTAAACATCATATTTGTAAAGTTAAACATCATAATCAACAAAAAGATTAGGGAGGTTGAACCAAAAAATAAGTATGATCAAACAATTTGCATTGCATTTTGAACCAAATGTCTCAAAACATTGATCTCCAAACACGGAATTATTGTTCAAATACAATATGGACATTGATGGCCCATCATCCAATTAATACACTTCACGTACATATAGATATAATATATAATATATTTAAACACAACCCATGTATTAAATATTGAAATTATATCATATTTAATTGTAAAATTGTGTTTAGTTTAATAGGAAATGGTGTGAGTTTTAGTAGAAGATGATAAAGATTAACATTGTATCTATATATATATATAATTTAAAGTGAAATTTGAACAATATATTTTAATTATATAAATTTTATTCATATTTTGAAGTTTTGTAAAAAAAAAGGGTTTGCAATAAATAATAATTTTCACATAATTTACTTTAAAATTTTATAGCTTTACCATTAATTTATATTTGAAAAAGTTTATTAAATTTAATTTTAAATAAGATATAGTTTGATTTTAAGTAAAATAAATATAATTTAAAAATGAGACATGGCAGTCTAAAAGAAATTTGTTTTTTTTTTATTTGGTTTTTGATCTTAAGAAAACTTTAATTTATATGTTAGATGAAAATAATTTCACAAAATTAAATATCCATTAAATATTTTATGAATTTTTATTTGTAAAATTTACAAGGTATTTATACATAAAATAAGTATTTATATATTATATTAGTATGGTATTCAAATATGTAAAAAAAAAAACAAAAAAAACAAATAAATTTAATAAAAAGATGATTAATAAACAAGTTTAACGTTATAAAATTTGGACCAACTTGATTCATTATATATATATATATATATATTATGAATTTATTTATATTTATATAAATAAATAAAAAATACTACCTCGTTGGTTTTAGGAACTTTATATTTTCTACACGTGTCAGCAAAAATATCAATTGGTGGTTAACTTGTTTTGTCAAAGAAAAACAAGGGCGGGTGAACCCAAAGAAATAATCACCCTCCGGACCCAAACGTCAAAAATTAAAATTAACCCATAAATGATAAAAACAGAAAAGTCAAAAATGAAATTGACCCATAAATGATAAAAACAACTGCACGGTCAAAACTTTAAAACCTTATTGCTTAAAAGAGTAAAATTTACATATCAAGATGTAGTAAGGTTTATCATGAGTGGAATTTACATAAAAAGGATAAGATGGTGAAAGGGTCTTATGGCGATTTTCCTAAACTTAAAAGTCAACTTATATTTTGGATTATCAAGAATATGCTGATATGCTTAACATATATATATATATATATATATATTTACTCGAAGTTAATAAATTTAATTTTTATTGAATGTGTAAAATTTATTATGTTATAAAAATATTATCTACATATTTTACTAAATAAAATCAAAAATTTATATTATTAATATGTGACAGATTAGATTTTTGTATTTAAGATAATCATAATAAATCAAAAATTCGATTTATAATCTAAATTAAAATAATATATTACAGATCACATCAAAATTTAAAAATATAGTTTTATAATAAAATTTATATCAATTCTATATAAACTTTTATAAAAATATTTTTTTTTTGGGTTAATTTTAAAGATAATTTTTATTATAAAAATAAATTATATAAAGTTTGAAATTTGATCCACCCTCCCTAACCTTATAAATTTAGATTTAGATCCAAAATCGGAGGAGGACAAATCATCTCACCTCAGCAACACCTATAAGAGAAGAGAAATTGTGAATTTAATTACATTTTATTTTTTAATTTTATTTCTTTATATTATTTTTATTACTACAATAATCATTGTTTTTTATTTTTTATTTAATAATATATTTTAAATACAATGATGCTTCGCTTCACACTACACAACAAGAAGTGAAAAAGAAGGGAGCCTGCCTGAGTCTAATTTAAAAAAAAAAAAAGGCATGTGAACAGTGAGGTAACTGAAGCTCACGCGGACTATGGCGCGTGTGGATTAAACGTTGAAATGACTGTGCCTTGTGTGTCAGCCTTTATATACAAAGTAAGTCACTCATGAAGGTTCAGTAAAATCCCCGACCGTTTAGTCCTTACTGCTTTTTTGATTGGACCGTGCTCTTCACTTTCGTTCCAAAAATAGATATTTCATGTATTATATTATATTATCCACGGCTCGTCTTTGCACAACGCCCCTTCGAATTTGGTGTTTTTAGAGATAAACCGTCTCGTACGGGTTTTTTGATTTTATTTTGCAGTGTCATCCGTTTACTTATAAAATTCCGGTGCAACCCCTTCCATTCAAAGCTAGTAATTCAAATCTTAAACGTATTTTTACTGAGGCTAAAATACTTTTAATATTAATTAAACTTAATTTATTAATATATTAATAAATTAAAATTACTCATAACATATTATAATATATATGTATAAGTAAAATAAATATTATATGTTAATTAAATTTTTTAAATTAAGTAATTATAAAAAATAAAAACTCAACACCGAAAAAAATATTGTTCCAAAAATTTATTCTTCAGCACCTAGAAATTATTAAAGCAATTACTGTATATTAATTCAGACCATATTTCATTATCAATAATTTTGCTCTTACTGTATTACAAACAAAATATAATTT